ATAAAATCTTTAAAAAAAGTAAAATATATCTGAACAATATAAGGAACACTTCTTTAACCACACCTCATTAAAAAAAAAAAAACCAAGCATGTTCAGTACAGTTCAAGCCCTTTGTGTAACTTTACCTATACATCCTCATTCCTCCCTCCTGAAGGTAACCACAATCCTGAATTTGGTGTATTATTCTCAGGCATATTTAAAAATTCAGTATATCATAATTTAATACTGACAGCTATACTTGTGGTGAACATGGCATAATGTATAAACTTGTCGAATCAGAGTCACTGAGTTGTACACCTGAAATTAATGTAACATTGTATGTCAACTATACTCAAATTAAAAAAAATTTTTTTTAAAGATTTTATTTATTTATTTGACAGAGAGAGAGAGAGACACAGTGAGAGAGGGAATACAAGCAGGGGGAGTGGGAGAGGGGGAAGCAGGCTCCCTACTGAGTAAGAAGCCTGATGTGGGGCTTGATCCCAGGATCCTGGGATCATGACCTGAGCTGAAACCAGACGCTTAACTGACTGAGCCACCCAGGTGCCCCCCCTTTTTAAAAAATATTTTATTTACAAATTGTTTTTTTTCATGTAAAATTATATTTGTGGGGAGCCTGGGTGACTCAGCTGGTTGAGCATCTGATTGTTGATCTCAGTTCAGGTCTTGATCTCAGGGTCATGAGTTCAAGCCCGGCATTGGGCTCCATGCTGGGCATGGAGCCTACTTAAAAAAAAATTGTATTTGTAAGATGTATCCATGTTGACATGTAACTCTTGGTAACTTCTTTTTGCTGCTATACGGTAATCTTTCTCTGAATATTCCATGATGGATCCATTCTCCTCTTCATGGACTTTTAGGTTCTAAACTTTTGCTTAAAAAGTCTCCATGAGCATTCTTGTACATGTTTTCTTGTGTATATATACACGTATATGTATATGTATATGTATATGTATATGTATATGTATATGTATATGTATAAATAAAACCCCCAGAGTTCTCCGGGGCAGAAACTTGGAAGTGGAATTACTTGGTTTTGTGGTATGTGCATCCTCAGCTTTACCACATTGTTCTTCAAAGTGGAATGCCAACTTACTATTCTACCAGCAGTGTGAGAGTTCCTCAGTCTTGGCTATCGTTAGACTGCTTAAATCTTTCTGCAGTCCTGCGAGTATGAACAGTATCTCTTAAGAACAGCAAAGAGAAGACTTGTATTATAGGATATTTAAAGCATGTATGAGAGCAGAGTGATCAGTGCAGTGAATCTCTATGTGTTTTGTCACCCTTATCAACGCATGGCCCTTCTTGTTTTATCTACAACCTTACTCCCAGGGTTCTAAAGGAATCTGAGATGTCACCCTGTCTTGCCTGCAGACACTCATGCATCTCCAGCACTAACTCTTTCATACATAGCCTCGGTAGCATTATCCCACTAAAAAATAACAACAATCCCTTAATGTTATTAAATTTAGTTTCTCTAGTTGTTTTGTAATATTTTTACATTTGTGTCTTCAAATCAGGATCTAAATAAGGTTCATACATTATAATTGATCTCAGTCTACAGATTCTCTCCGTTTTCCCGTACAACATCTACCTTGTGATGTTAACAGTATTAATGATTATTGCCAAAGAAATACACTCGTTCATCAGGAGTTGCAAAATGGTGCTATTCTGCCATTTCTTTTTTGTTTGTTTATCAGCAGGATACCTCTGTAAAGAGAGCTTTTTTTCTCTTCAAATAGCTGGTCTTCTCGAGATACTGTTAGTAAAGAAAGAAAGGATAAAATTCTTTCCTTTCATTCACCAGCTTTTAAAGGAATTACTTTGTCGCCAGTATCCTCCCAAGGTCATCACTGAGTTTGTTTTAATTATCTTTATGAACTTATGGGTTTAAACAAATTTGGTATGTTCCAATCTATTATAGTAATCATTCCAAATGATGCTCAGATTGCTCAACTTTGGCCAGTGGGAACCTCTTTAAGTGGGCTCCTGAATTCTTTTGACACCATCCTAGTAGTCTCTGATAGTTTTCTTACTTTCTGGTATGACGAGATGTTTCACATTCACCTCGTACATTTCTTGCTCCAGACCTAAAACCAGCCATTTCTCTAAGGAGTGCTGGCCACATGGTCATCATCTGCATAGCATAAACCAAAATTCCAGTTTCTCAGAAAGAAAGCAAGTGTTCATCACAACATTGTTTACATAGATCATTTAGGCAGGGTGAGCCATTTTTATCAAAGAATGGTGGGAATCCTCCTGGAATCTAAATTCCTAGATGCCAGCCTGGGCCCACCTTGCAAGCCAACCTTTTTAAGGACAATAGTCCGAGGCCTGCTGTGTTTACTCTTTTCTGCACAGCTGCCTGTTAGACATTTTGTGGCGATGAAGAGTAAGCAGAAAGTTGGTTAAGGAGTCAGGAGTTCAGAGGAGAGGTTGTGATGGAGGTATACATGTGACAGTCATTAGCTCAGAGAAGGTATTCAGAGCCTTGAGACTGAGTGAAGTCACCTAGGGAGTGAGCCCAGAGAGAGACTCAAGGACTGGCCCTTGAGCACGAAGTTGTGGAGATGAGGAGGAGCCAGCAGAGGAGACTGAGAAAGAGCACCTGGTGAAGTAGTTATCACGTGGAATGAGAACCAAGAGGGTGTAGTATCCCTAAAGCCAAATAATAGAGTATTCAAGGAGGCTGAGTTCAGTGGTGTCAAATGCTGCCGATAGGCTGAGTAAGCTGAAAATGGAGAACTGACTCAGCATGGCGGTGTGGAGGTTACTGGGGACCTTGAAATATGCCGTTTCAGTGGAGTGGTTGGGACCAAAGCTTGACGGGAGTGGGTGTAAGAGAGAATGGGAGAAGAGGGAGTATAGACAGTTCTTTCAAGGAATTTGGCTGCAGAGGGGAGCAGAATGGTTGGAGGGGCAAAGGAGTGGAGGAATAACAACATGAAAAAAATAACAGCATGTCTGTACATTCATGGAGATTCTCCAATACAGAGAGAGAAATAAATCACCTAGGAGAGAAGGGGAGAAATGTTGGAACCTGAGGAAGAGAAAGGGAGTGAGATCTAACGTCTAAGTAAGGTGGCTTCACCTAGAAGCATGGACAGTTCATCCACAGTAACAGGAAGGTGGGCACAGTATCTAATACGACAGGGCTGGGTTGGTAGGTCTGTTGGTGAGAGCTTGTAAGCAGAGATGGTAGCATGGTCACCAGCTGCACTTGAGGAGTGGGGAAGAGATGCTGCAGATTTTTTTTTTTTTTTTTTTTTTTTAGAATTTTAGGTTCTTTTTATTTTATTTTAAGATTATTTATTTATTTGAGAGAGAGAGAATGAGAGACAGAGAGCATGAGAGGGAGGAGGGTCAGAGGGAGAAGCAGACTCCCTGCTGAGCAGGGAGCCCGATGCGGGACTCGATCCCAGGACTCCAGGATCATGACCTGAGCCAAAGGCAGTCGCCCAACCAACTGAGCCACCCAGGCGCCCCAGAGATGCTGCAGATTTAAAGAGTGGAGAGGTATGGGAGACTTAGCTTAGTGAGTGGATAGGGAAAGATAGATTGTGAGGTATCGCTTGGAGGTTAGCGGTAATGAATTTAAAATGAGACTAGTTTTCAGATGAAGGTTTTTTTGTTTTGTTTTGTTTTGTTTTTCTAGTTACTTCTAGCCATTGGGCTATAGGGGCAGGGTAGGTGGTGATCCAACCAGTGTTTTGAGTTCAGCTGGGCAAATACCTTAGCGAGGAGAGCAGTGGAATTAGCCATGTATGCCAGAGAGTGATTTTAACACTGGCCTATGGGATCGAAGCTGGTTAAGGAGGGAAGTGAAGAATGAAGCTGTGAAGATGTGGTGCCTACAGTCAGTCGTAGGTCCCGCATGTTCAAGGAATTGCTGAAGTTGTGCATTTAAAGGGACTAAGTAGGAAGATGGGAGAAACTAATCAGAGCACTGAAAGCTTAAAATTAGGGAAGGATGTGCAGTTATGGATAATGGGAGGGTATGTGACTCTAAGAACAGGTAACTGGGGTAAGGTGGAGAATACAGTCACTGGAGGAGAGGGGGTCAAGGAGCCAAGAGGCCAGGGGACTGGAAAGATCATCCACATTGACATTGAAATCACAAGAATTATAATCGGAGATTATTAGATTTGGAGAAGGTGACAATGAGCAAATTCTCAAGGATGATGAGAGTGACTGGAGATCACAGTTGTCATTTCCTGATGGTTCCCCCTTTCTGTGTACTTCCAGACTTCTTGTACTGCCGGATGGACTTTTCATGATGTGGAAACTTCTTACCTTTTTACAAAGGACCCTGTACTCCGATCAAAAGTCCTTAGTCATGCCACGGTTTTGCCTGACTCTGCCTTGTATAGCCACTGTTCCTTTTGTTTAAAAGCTCTCAGCCGCAGCAGCTCCCTTCCCCAGCGGATGGTCGCTTCCTGCTTATAGTCTGTCGGATTTAGTACATTATTTTCAAAGTATTAGTTTATAGTCACTGTTTTCCTCTCCTTTTTGTTTAGGCCAAGAGCCTTATCTGTCTCTTTGTCCCTGAAGCACTGTGAAAAAGCTCTCAGCAAGCTCTAGGACCAGATCTGGTTCATAAATTCCTTTTGAAAGTCAGTTATCAATTAAATTGGGGTGTGATTCTTCATTTTTTTTTTTTAAAGATTTTATTTATTTATTTTGACAGAGAGACAGAGAGAGGGAACACAAGCAGGGGGAGTGGGAGAGGGAGAAGCAGGCTTCCCGCGGAGCAGGGAGCCCGATGCGGGGCTCGATCCCAGGACCCTGGGATCATGACCTGAGCCGAAGGCCGGCACTTAACGACTGAGCCACCCAGGCGCTCCCTGATTCTTCATTTTTAATCTCAGCAAATATGATGCTTACTTAGATGTGCTTATGTCAGGTGCTACAGTTAATGACAAAAAGTTTAAATCACAACGGATTCCTTTTCTCCAGCTATTACAGAATGACTGCTCTTAATCTTTTTACTTGTATTGCAGAGAAGACTGAAAAGTACAGAAGGAGTCACTAGTTGGCTAACATGGGCCTGAGCATCGATGACACGGTCACTTCTACAAGAGCTTGAAGAGAGAGCCTCAAGTCTCAGTTTTTTATTTTCTCTCCCTTCCGGTTGGGGCCTTCTATTTTGGTCTTGGGAATTGGGTTCACAGTTGAAGGAAGGAGGCCCCAAAGGTACTGAGATAATCTCTGGAGTAAAGAAAACAGGAAAAGTAAAGGTGACTATAGGACAACGAAACCAATGCTTTCTTTTTCCTTCTCTGCTAGCTCGTTATTTAAATGTTATTAAACGTCATTTGATGTTAGTATACTTAGCTTTATTTTTTTTAGAGTGTTTTTTTTAAGTATCTCATTTAATTTATTGAAGAGAGTCTGTATGTGAGGATTTTTGTGGCAATTTTGATTTCTCCTTATGATTTCTTATATATTTATGAATTTTGTATTTAAATGGAATACCAGTTAATTATGTTTTTGATTCATAGTTTATACAACATTTGCTTTTGGCATATTATTAAGTTAATGTAGAAAAAAATCTAGTGACAAAATACTCATTTTAATTTTTTTCAGAAGCTATGAGTGGAGGATCTCAAGTCCACATTTTCTGGGGTGCTCCGGTTGGTCCATTGAACACGACAGTATCAACGGAACCAACTTCTTTAATGTCTCCTGAGAACCCCTGGAAAAAAATTCAGCTCTTATACGACCAACATTCTTTACATCTGAGGGATGAAAACTGCACGCATGAAACTCTTGAAGACTGTCCAGTTCTAGAAGCTCATGGCCCTCTAGATTTTCCTAGTGCTCAGTTTTTAACAAACCCTATGGGTGAACCTATTCATGTGAAAGAAGACTCTATAGATTGTATTTCTGAAACACAGACTGTAAAATCCCAGGAGAGTCCCCCTTTAGGAGTGAGAGAGAGAACCAGCTCTGATGTGCAAATATGTGGGTTTAAGGGCAAAGTTCAGCATTTAACAGAAGAAGAAAAGTTTCAAAATCTTCTCAGTGAAAATAAGAAAATTGCAGATGGGCAGCATAAAGATCAGTCAAATACATGTGGTCGGAACTTTCAGAAAAACTTCTTTCAGTTAGATCGTAAGTGTGCAGCTACGCTAGATTTGGTCTGTAGTATGGAAAAGATTAATGTGGGGCTGGGAGCGATTGAAATGAAGTGTGGGCCAACAGAGCATCATGAGGTACAAAACCAGGGTCTGGAGTTCTTTTCCTCTGACACAGAAGATAAGCCAAGGTCCGAAGCTGTTAGAAAGGTCGCAGACCTTAAAATATCTACGGATACTGAATTTCTTACTATAATGACCTCCAGCCAGGTTGCTTTTTTATCTCAAAGGAAGTCTAAAGGACAGAATTTTATCAATAAAGGGCCTGTAAGCGAACCAAAGGCAAGTCATAGGGAAATAAGAATACTTGAAGATAATTTGACTCAGCCTAATGATGACTTTGCAGGAGGATGTGAAAGTGGACAAAATCAAGCACATTCCCTTGAACTCTTTAGTCCTGTTTGTCCTGAGGCAAAAAGTAGCGACACTCACATGAAGTCTGATAAAAGTCTCGAAGAAAATAGAGGACCTCAAGCACTGTTCAATTTTGAAGACAAACTGCCACCCAGTGATGTATGTATCGAGTCATATAGCTCAGGAATGCTGTGTTCCCAACTAAATACCTTCCACAAAAGTTCTGTTAAAAGAAGTTGGACCTCTGAAGACAAGTTGGGCCATTCCAAAGCTCTGTCTAAAGTCCTCCAACCATCCAAGAAAATTAAGTTGGTCTCTGATGCAGGAGAACCTACTGCAACAATGGACCAGAGGAATGCGTCTAAATTTAAGGGGATTAAAAAAACATCATTAATACAAAATTGTGATTCTAAGAGTCAGAAGTATAATTGTTTAGTCATGGTATTATCTCCATGTCACGTGAAAGAAATAAGTATAAAATCTGGACCAAATTCCGGCTCTAAAGTGCCTTTAGGAACAATTGTGGTAACGGACCAGTCAGGAATTAAGAAGAAGGTCTCTCTGTGGAGGGCTGCAGCATTTTGGGCACTTATAGTATTTCCTGGAGATATAATTTTGCTTACAGGTAAGGTCAGTCATGGGGTAGTGATAGCTTCAAGCTATAGGCTTCCCCGACCTCCCACTTTCAGCCTTACATCGTTTGCCTCTGTGGGAGGCGGCATGATCGATCCCTGTCCAGTATCCAGGTTTGTCCCCTTACCGTCGCCCGGTGTCCCATGTTCCTGCCATTTCTGGGCCTCTGCTCTAGCCCTTCTTAGTTCTGTCCTCCTTGAGGGAGGCCTTGAAGAAGCCTTCCCTGATTGCTTCTCCCTTTCATTCACTATGTTAGCATTCAGGTCATATCATCAGGCTCTTTCTTTGTTTCCTTATGGTTTTGGCTACATATATCTTATTTTTAAGTGTTTTCTTGAGCTATATTAGCAGTCTTATGACGAAAGGACAGCGTTTCTACTACTTAAGCCCTAGTGATGCTGTGCACATCACCTTCTTATTGAGGGGACAGATAGAGAATTTCTATTGTGTTTTTAATTATTAAAATTATACTATCACATTTGGGAATATGGGAAGGAAAAACTGCTGATATTAAAGCAACCTCATATCACCTCCAGTAGAGTTTTGGAGTGTTACCTTCCAGTTATCTTCCCTCTGCTCCTTAAAATGTGTATACATACATATGTAATAGTTGATATTTATTGGGAACTTACTTTGTGTCCAACCCTGTTTTAAACTTCACATGTATATCAATTCATTACAACAACTGTATGAAGGTACTGATTATTAGCCCCATTTTTCACTTTGAGTAAACTGAGGCCCAGAAAAGTAAAGCAGTGTACCCAGTTTCACACATCTAGGAACTGGCGAAGCCAGGATCTCACCTAGATTCCAGAACCCACACTCTTACTATATAGTTGTAATCATAAAGAGCATTGAGTTTTTATCCTGCTTCTTTCTGACATAAGACGTCTAACATTTTTTTTTTTACATGTTCTTCATTAATTGAAAATAAATACACAGTGTATTAGAGCAGAGATACCAATGATATTAAGGGTGAGTCCCAGACTGGGAGGGAGTTGATTAAGCTCAGTAACCTACCTAAAGAAAGAACGTGGTAGAGAAGAAGAGTGGGTGAGCTTTAGAAGCCTAGAAAAAGAAGACATCAAGGCAGTCATTGGTGGTTCCTACCAAGTGGTTTGCTGGGGGAATGAGAGCCTTGCCTAATATTCCTTAGGTGCATAGGTAAGAGTGTCAGGTGCATGCTCTCATAAAGAGATATGTGGGATTATAACCGACATGGTTAGCAGAGTCCCGTCCCACTGGCAATGTCATCTTATTTGTTGCTAAGTCAGTTCATCTTGCTCCCTCTATTCTGATTCAGTGCTCACCAAGCAGCCCTTTTCTTACGATTTGGCTTCCCAGGTATAAAGCTGCCTACATGAGAATCGGCTGCAAATGCTGTTTCTGTGGCAATGAATGTCTCATTGTAAATTAAAAAATGGTGTTGTGTTTTTTGTTTGTCTCATTAACTTGTTTAATGGGAGCTTATGTTGCAGAGCTGAAATCTATTTTTGGGGTGCCGACAAAATCAGATTCCCAGACTATCAGGAGAGAACGGGGCCCTGGACCGCGGTTATTTTACCAAGGCCATTACTGTCCCTGGGTGAGCCTCACAGGAGGACTTTTCCTGGCAGATGGAAACTCAAGCCTGCTATCCCTGTTTTTTCCTAGTGTCCATACAGTTGTTAGCAACTCGGTAACCTTCTATCAAGTGACTTAACTGGTTTACTTAGCCATTTTCCTATTATAGGATATTTAGATTATTTCTATGAGCACCTTTTAAAAAAATTAGATTTTTTCTTTCTGTTTTGCCTTATTTCCTTAGTAAAAAAGTAATCTGGTTCACTAATTTCTGAATGGGTTTCTTTTGTTTGTGTGGGACAGATGGAAACTTAATGGAAAAAAGCGAAATCTATACTTTTCCATTGTCCTAATTAAATACTGAAATTGTATTTACATAGAAATTTATGGGTAAAATCCCATTCTAATTAACAGCATTCATGTACATTATTATATCTCCACGTTGGATATTTCGTACTGTCTACTGACACACACCCCCAAACTGAACGTGTTTCCGCAGATGTATCCCAGCTCACACTGTGTTCCGTGACACAGCCGACCTTTTGCCATTATACTTGTAGCAACAGCATGAAGAGGTGCTGTAAGTGAGGACTGTCTGAGGGAGGCTGCTGGCCGGAGTTCAAAGAGGACCTGGCGCTGAACTGTGGAAAACCACAGATTTTCAAGAACAAACAGGAGAGGCTCTAGGGCATATCCGTGAGAGGGAATCAGGAGAGCCAGGAGGCAAGGGCTGGGCCAAGAATTCTACTCCACCCTATCACTACTGATTAGCAAGTCACTAACCCAACCTAGGTTTTACAATCTAATTTTCTGAAGCCTCTCCTTGAAATTTATTTGTTTCTTTCTGAAGAGCAGGCATCCTGATGGTCAGATGATGAGAAGTCTAGAACGCTGTGCTAGCTGTTCCTGGCCAGGCAGTGGGGAGCTGCTGAGTGCTTTTTTTTTAAAGATTTTATTTATTTATTCATGAGACACAGAGAGAGACAGAGGCAGAGGGAGAAGCAGGCTCCCTGCAGAGCAGGGAGCCTGATGTGGGACTCGATCCCAGGACCCTGGGATCATGACCTGAGCCGACTGAGCCACCCAGGCGTCCCTGCTGAGTGCTTTTTAAACCAGTCAATGGATCGCATTAATGTTCTTGAGAAATCACTCATTAGCACGGGGGGGGGGGGGGGGGGGATGTGGACTGAAGGTGGGAAGGGACCTGCTAAGAGAGAGAGGAATGTATGATATAAAACAGTCCTGGCAGGGCCGGGGGGTGGGGCTCAAGAGGCAGAGCCAACGGGTGGGAGTTTGGAGACAAAGGTGGGGAAGGAGAGGTAGAAGTCCAGGGATGACTTCACATTTGAATTTACCTGGCGAATTCCAGAGTGCCAACAAATGAGATGGGTCATATGAGAAGAAGAGCAGGTTTGAGCAATGCTGAGTCTGGGGAGCCAATGGAATATCCAGTCAGGAATGTCTGTTTGCAGTTGTGGAGAAATGGGTAAATGGGTTTGAAGCTGGGGAGAGGGTCTGGGTATCAATTTGGAAGTAAGTACTTGGAATGTGTGCATCCTTGTTTATCCTTATTATTCAAAAATTTGCTGCTGTTAGGATATCTTTATACCTCTAGCATTTTATGCACTGATTATATCCTGCCTGGGATCAATATGTCTCTGTCTCTAACTTACAGTTTTTGCTCTACTTGGAATTGTTTCTACCTGTTGGTATATTTAGTTCCACTCTCTGATTCTTCTCTAGGCATCTTAGATCATAGAGCTCTCCTATTGGAAAGTGTTCCTTACCTCCCAAGTCCTTCACTTTTAACATCTGGAGATGAAGATTGCGTTTGAGGGAAAAAATAATCAAAGTCCTTTAAGAATGCCTTATATTCATATGTGTTCATAGCAGAAGGGGTAAATGCATACGAAATATTATTTGCTCTTCTAGGTACGACTGCTTTGGAACCATTACTTTGCTTCCTGGCTCTAAATGATTTGCTTTTAGTTTCTCAAAATAGACATTAGGACATTTCTTTTACTTAAACAAAAGCCATTAAACCATTCTTTGTGGAGCAGTGAGCTTCCATACTGATATTGTTCAAATATACAGAAGCAATGTTGTTACTGCTATTCTATTATTTTGTGTCTTTAGGCAGATCATTTAGCCCGCTTGAACTTTAGTTGCCTGGCATGTGAGAGACATGCATAATATTTTGCTATGACTGCTAAGTTCATTACGGTGTGAAGGAATTTCTGACATGATCAGAAGAACTTTTTTTTCTCCTTTCCAGATGTTACTGTTTATGAAGATCACTGGGTTGGTGAGACAGTACTACAGTCAACATTTACCAGTCAGTTATTAAATCTTGGGAGTTACTCATCTGTCCAGTCTGAAGAGTGTAAGACACATTTTAAATATAATAATTTCCTGGTATTTAAAGTATATACACATATTAGAAAAAGCTACAACAATGTGAGAATACATATGCACAAGGTTATTCAGGGAAGTGTTTATAATTGCAAGACACTGGGAAAAATCGGAATGCTCCTGCGTAGCAGAACGACTGATGACATTGTGGTACATTTCCACAGTGAAATACTATGCAGCCGTGAAAAAGAATGAGAAAGAGCTCTGTGAAGTGACAGGGAATGATTTCCAGGACATACTGTTATGTGAAAAACACAAAGCTCAACAAAGTATACATAGCATGCTATCCTTTGTATAAGAAAGAGGGGAGTAATAAAATATATGTGTATCTCCTCATTTGTGCAAAAAAAAAAATGCAGGAAAGAAAACAGAAATTAAAGACATGAGTTACCTACAGAGTGGGTGGGAAAAGGGAAAGAAAGAAGGAGGGAATGGAAATAGGGTACCATTGAGGAGGAGGGAGTAACACTTCTCTGAGTGGATCTTTTTGTGTAGCTTTGATTCACCGAGAATCACAGTGCTGCTTCCCATACCCACAGTACACCAAATGCAGTGGAGGGAGAAGCCCCAAAGAAATGCCACTAACAAATGAACCCAACCGTATTACAAAGGAGGGTGGGGGAAGGCAAGATCAAACCTCAGTAACTGTGGAAAACAGTGTATGCACTGGATTCTGCAAGGCCAAGGACAAAAGGAGGGCATGGGTGCTGCAGTCTGGTTAGTAGAAGTGCTTCTTAGAGGGGCGTGGGTTAGCAACAGCCTGGAAACTGGAAGCAACAAAATGTAAAAAGTCAATTTCCAATTTGGGGATTTCTTTAAAAGATGTAAGTGTTATCCTTTGTTACGAGTATTTGAAGTTGCCGCATCTTGGAGAGCATATTTCCATGGAGCTAAATGAGTTTTAAGTAAAATTCACCATATTCAATAGGTGTTAATACAATAGAAGAGTAAGAAACGTTTTGAAATCATGAAAATAACATGGTATGCAAATATTTTGCAAGGGATCGGGGAGATAAATGTCATAGGTAGAGTTGGTTTTAAGACTGATTTACATTCAAGTAAGGCTGATCTGTTGCAGTCATTTCAGAAAAATCTTAGGACCTAATTCTAGATGGAGAATATCACATGGAACCCCTGGGAAGCTTCAGGTTTTTTGTAGAACAAAGAGAAGAACCTTGAACTAGTTAGAGAACCTTTAAAGGTTACTTCAAATTCTTTCTTTTTATACTTATATAGGAATTTATATTGCCCTGTTTTTCATAGTTGGTAGCTAATCTAAGTCTTTTTAATTTGATGTAGGGGAATGGTTATCAGTTGGTACTTTGAGAATATTATAATTGTTTTTCTGAAAGAATAAATCAATTTGGTTAGGTTTTTGTTTTTGTTTTTACAAGTACTTACAGCTCATGAAACATTCTTCTGATCAATATATTGTGCTTTTAGAGAAGACTTCTGTTCTTTCCTCATTATAGTGGGGTGTTAACATGTGATAGGACATAAATTTATCTTAAGTATTATTAAATTGAAATGATTAAGTATATAAATCAAAGGTTAATACAATGTTTTTGTGAAGTAGATGATTTTAATTGGAATCTAAGTAATTCCATGTTTCTGTTTTATAAATCAGGGATAAATAAATACTTGGATATCAGGGATCTTTGTATTTTTCCCGAAAAGCTCCACATTATAGACAAAGAATGAAGCCCAGAGAAGTTATGTACGAGTTCTCAGAACTCATTGTTGACAGAGTCAGAATTTGAACCCGTTTGAATGTTGATTCCACACATGCTGGAAATATTGCGAAAGAGGGATTAGGACGTCTGGTGGATGAATTGGAACCCCGGATGGAGCTGCTTGGAGCTGGGTTTTGCTGTAATCTAACAGGTCTTCTCTCTTCCTCTCTTGCGCTCATTCCCCTTTCATGCCATCTGTTCTTTTCTCTTATGCTCCTTGCTTTGTTAGTGATATTACCTTTGCTTCATAAAAGTCACGGAGAAATGGAGTCATCTTAACTAGAATGAATTTCAGGTATCAGGTTCTAAAAACCTTAAAACATTTGTTTTTATCATGCACTGAGCTGTGCAAGGAATCTTGATGCCATCTTTCATCTTTTCTGTACCCTCTCCATCTCATTGTTTCTTGGAGTCCACCTCTGAACTGTTTCACAAATCTGTCACCCCTCGTCCCTTTATGCAGTCTTGCCTGGTTCCCAGCACTCATCGTCTCCTGCTGGATGGCCCCTGGCCTCCTAAGTGTTCTTCCTACTCTCTCTTCTGTGAAAATTGATTCCTCCACATTAAGGGGTCTGTGAGCTTGGATGGGAAGGCATTACGTCTTTACTTTCTCTGATAGCTAACTGAAAATGAGCTCTGCTTCCATTATCCATGAGGCAACAATCCACAGTAATATTAGCAGTACTTGGGGCTTAGTCACCAATGGAAAGCACGTATATTTTCATATCACATATTATAGTTGTCGAAGATAACTTGAATATCATCTATGCTCGTCACTACTTTGAAATTACAGTAGTTGTTACATACTCTATTATATATTGTTATTTAATGTACTAATGAGGCACAAATTATCTGTTGAAAAATATTTGATTGCTGTATTTCCATATAGTCGGTTTTGCAATCTTATTTTATACATTGAAAAATACTATTTTGTAATGAAAATGCTCTATAATTAGATAATGGTAGTAGTTGCACAACATTGTGAAATACTAAAAAACACTGAATCATACACTTTATTTAAAAAAATTTATTTTTATTTTATTTTTTTTTAGTAGCCTCCACGCCCGACATGGGGCTTAAACTCACAACCTTGAGATTTAGTGTTGTGTGCACTATCAACTGAGCCAGCCAGATGCCCCAAATTATACACTTTAAAAGGGTGAATTTTATGTATGTGAATTATAGCTCAATAAAACTTAAAAAAAAATACTATTCTGATAATCATATGCTTCATCAGACTACCAGAAGCAGCTGTAATATGTAAGGGAGTACAGATCCCTTTCTCTTTACTTGGAAATATACCCCCTCCTCCATTTACTACCTAGAAAACTAGGACATTTTTTTCCAAAACCCAGCTCAAATATTCCTTCAATAAAGCGTCCAACTTGCCTGGGCAATTGTTTCTGTGTGTTCTTGGGAAGGCTTACATGCATCTCTTAAGCCCAGTGTTTGTTATTGACTATCTCAAGGTTGATAATTCCTTCAGTGTGAGTATCATGACAAGATATGTCTTTGTATCCCTAGCACCTGGCATAATGCCTGGCACGTAGTGGATGGTCCCCTGATGAGTGAATGAATAATGAGGCTTTAGTGTAGCATAAGAAATACATTAGGATGAAAATGTTGATGGAAGGAAAGAAGAATCATTTGTTTTTTTCCTCCTGAAATCAGGAAATAGACCCAACCTTCTAAAAAAGTACTTAACTGCTTTTTGCTAAGATCTTATTTTGGTCAACAATCCACTATATATTCAAATACACCTCCCTTACCTTCAGGGAAATTAAAATTTAATCAGCAAACCTCATCAATCTGTCCATTTGAAATGTGTGTATTTTATTATATGTGAAGTATATCTCAAAAAATGAGAAAACATTGAAACAAATAATTAAAACATAGACAAAAACATCTAAATGACATAATGACCGAAGAACTAAACAACTGATCTAACAATCAGGAGAAATATTACAACGTAGCATATGTTCAAATGCCACATGAAAGCTGGAGAGAAAAGCTCTCTACGGGAAGAAGTCACTGGGAGCCGCTCTATGGTGGTTGTTTTTCTGTGTAGTATTTGCATAGATAGAGGGGATGAAGCGTTGCAGCCAGTGAGAGTGGTGAGGACCGAGGCTTGGAAGTGGGGAAGAGGAAAGCATGTTCAGGGAGGGAGTCATTAGGTGACTCAAGTGTATTGAGGATGAGGAACATAAAAGTCTTGAGGAAGAATAGCAGTGGTTGGGATGGTCAGGGAAGGTGTGAGCAAATCAGACTGCAGGGATTAGGGGACTGATTGGGTAAAGCAGGGTAATGGAGGGGTCAACAGAAATAACCGAAATACTGGTCTTGGTTAATTGGTAGAGAAATGGTATTATTAACAAAACAGAGAAGGGAACAGGGCAGGTTGTTTTGGAGATGGTAAATAATTCTAACTCCCTTGGTTAAAAATAGCAAGCTTATTTGTACACCTAAGCATTTAAGAAAAAGTTACATATTTTTAGAAATGAAAGCATATTTTCCATTTAATCACACTTTACAACATAAAATACATTTCTAAGAAAATACTGTGTTGTTAAGAAAATACGATTTTGCCATCTTTCATACATGCGTGTGTCTTTCTTTCTTAGACTCCAATGTAGTTGATGACGTTGTACTTCGAGACTTACTGGCATATGTGTCTTCAAAACACTCCTATCTCAGGGATCTTCCTCGGAGGCAGCCTCAGAAGGTGAACAGTATAGAATTTGTAGATTTGGAGCAACTACAGCCGGACGCATTGGTCCACGCAGTGCTGAGAGTTGTTGATATCACTGTGCTGACAGGTAAGTATTTGGGGCGCCGTCTTAATTTTAGCTTATAAAATAATTAAGATACCAGACTCTTGTAGTGTATCGTTTGGTTGTCACTATTATGTTTATCACTGGACATGAAAGTAAGCTGTCCTATGTGATGAAGTAATGCTGGCTGAAATATTTCTTTTCCAGAGGCCTTATACAGTTATAGAGGACAGAAGCAAAGGAAAGTTATGTTAACAGTGGAACAGGCCCAAGGTCAACATTATGTGCTTGTGTTATGGGGTCCTGGAGCAGCCTGGTACCCTCAACTTCAAAGGAAAAAAGGTAAATATGCCAAAAAGCTTTTAGCCTGTTTATAGTTAGGTAAATGATTAATGCTTATGAGCTGAAGATGAAGAGCATCTTAAGAGATTAAGATAGACGTTTGAAATAGTAGGTGATCATAATTGAATATTCGTCTTCGGATTTCTTCTGTTATGATTTTATACCTCCTGTAAGCAATTTCGTGATCTAAAAAGTCTTCTTTAATTAACAGAGGCAAAAGAAAAGTTTCCATTTATTCCCAGGTTTACGACTTTACCTTTTTAGTGAAGATCTTATCTCCTTCAGGAAACGTTCTTTAAAAATTGAAATCTGGAGACGCTTCTACAGTTTTTATCCAGCCAAAGTACTCTGATAAATAAACGTCTCTCTGGTTATAAAGCAGATGTTAGGGGAGCTGCATTAACCCTTTCAAGTCGCAATGTTACTGTTTCACAAATTAGTGTCTTCCAGGTTTTTATACCAGTTGTTTTAAAAGTGTGGACTATTAGTCATCCATAGAATGTTTATGTTTAAGATATGACCTGTGATGCCACTTTTCTTTAAAGCATCAGTTACTAATAATTTATGATGAATTTAATTAAATGGCATTGATGTTTCAATAAAATAGTATAATATCTTCATTTCAATATTATATTGTGAGATCCTTTCGTTGTAACAGTCAGAAATAGTTTAATTAGTGGCTTGTGAGTTATTTTATCCTGCTGAATTAATCCAGAGATTGGTTAGGTGTGCGACTGATTCTTTTTTGCCTGAAAGAGTTAATGCCTCTTCCCAAACTTCTACCTACAAAATGGTTATCTAAGGATAGGATCTGTCACATTCTCTCTCTTAATCATTAATAGCCTATAACCAGGATTTGAGGTAAGTCTGACTTTTGACTTTTATGTTAGGATCAAACAATGGCAAATATTTGCTCAGTTGAGAACTCTGACAAACATGTGTCAGTGGTAGACTGACCATCGTTATTGACCACTATATCATAGCTGGGAACATGAGTCTGTGCATGTGGAACAAAATGTAGGTCAAAGGTGCTATTCCATTTGTGATGGAGCTGTAGCAGACTGCTCCATGCTTACTATGAATATTCTTCTAAAAGTCGTAGTTATTTGGCTGATAGAAGAGACATTCTAGTTCTCTCTAGACAATTCTATGGTATTTAGGTTAATACTGGAAATTTGTGAATCCAGGAATTAAGATATAGTTGTTCTTTGGTCATTCATTCATTCAGCATACTTTTATAATCATCATTTTTAAGTTTTGACATCCACCTCAACACCTCAAAATTATTCTTTTCAAAATGGGAAAGTACCAATTTTGAAGGATCATCTAAGTAAGTGATTCTGCTTTCAGAAACTGTTAGCATTTTATCTATTCATCTCGTGTTTCTTGAGGTGTTCTCTGTATTAACCTCCATACTGGGCACTGGTTTTCCTTGTTCCTGAAGATAACAAACTCACATTGAGATGATTTAATCAGAAATGATCATCAAGTAGTCATTGTTGAATACTGGAGATCACAAAGTTGATGTTTTGGGGAGGAATAATAAGAAATCCCCAATTCACATTCTTTCAAAATATGCATGGAAATTTGTAGCAAGGACTGATCACAGTTTAGGTCCTAATGAGGGTGGACTAGGGGTATACACTACACTTCTTAGGAATAATTGGGTACGTAAAAGAAGCTATTCAGAACTAAATGCCATTCTAATGCAATATTCTGGAAGTATTTAACAGAAGTCTAATATTTTAAAAATATAACAAATTATAATAAAGTACTCTGTGACATTACTAATTAAGCACAGAGTAATGCAAATGATCCCAACGTTTGTAATTATACTTAATGCAAAATCATAGTTATGTCTGTATGGAGGTTTGAAATCTATTCACATCCTTAATTCATGATTCAAATAATAGAAATGTATTAGAAATTGTCTCAATACCAGTCTCCTTCAGACCTCGTAGTCTAATCTGCACACGACTCCTTTCTGTTACTTGAATTTGCCAATCTTTTTCCTGCCTTGGGATCTTAAGTTTACATGTTTCCTCTGCCTAGAGTGCTCCCCCCTACAGGTACCCACATGGATGTCTCCTTCATTTCTCAGCTTCAATGTCATATCCTCAGGGGGGCCTCACACATACATAATCACTATCAGATGCACTCTTTGAGGTCCATTCGTGCCACTTAACACAATCAGGATTATCCAGCTTATTTGCTTGCTTGCTAATTAACTAATTTTCTCCATAGATTATAAATTCTGTGAATACAAGCATTCTGCTAAGCTTGTTCAGCCCTGTATCCTCATTACACAGCACTGTGCCTGCCCTCGCAGTGCTTTCTTTGTGAATGAACGAATGAAGAATAAAATACAGATCAAGCAACCACTCAAAATCTCCAGTCTTGAAGGAATAAGAGACTCAAGTTTGAGGAGGGAATAACTTTGTTTCAAATGATAATAAAAAATCACCAGTTTGAAAATGCATGCACACAAAGTTTTGGCAACCCATGGAATGTATTAACAAATTATATTTAAACTTGGGCACTGAGGGCTTTTAGTGAACTGAACTAGAACTCTTCTCTGGTTAACTTAACCAATTAAGGGGCATATATTTGACATATACAGGAGTATCTCATGGTACATAGGGCAAGAGTGCTGATGGGTTCAGGGGTACTTAAGAACCAGGCGCTGAAATGCTTTGTGGGCCCCGGGCAGCTTCTCCAGCTGTCTGCTTTATTCACTCGGTGCAGACTTTCTCTGCTTTTCAACCATATGGAAGGCAGCAGAAGATGCTTACTCTGTAGCCCCTGATTTTACTTTTCCTTTTAAGAGACCAGTCCATTTCCAAATTCCCAGCAAAGAAAACCTGATTGCCCAGACTGAATTTGATTCAATCAACTATGGCCTCGGGGACAGGGTGGGAAAGTAGAATAGGAATGCCTGAGCTTGTTTCAGAGGGTCAGGGGACAGATGAGAGGGTCATTTGTGGTCTGGGTGGACACACAAAGGTATTCGCCACCAAAGATATGAATGTTCACTAGCCTAGAAAGACGTATGTGATGTTACTCTTTAATTTAAAAAGTAGATTATAAAATTTCATGTATAATAGAATCCCATTTTAATAAAGCAGGTAGGTGAGTATGTGTATACATGAAAAATTTGGAAATACAGATATTAAAATGCTAGCAATGGCTATGTGTGTTTTTTCTTTATGCCTTTAGTTTGAATTTTGTACCTGTGTGAATCTGCATTTATTTTTTACACATTTAGTAAAAACTTCAAACTTAGTAAATAGAGAATAATATAATGAAATACCCATTATGGTATCCATTATACCCATTATATTAGAACATTGGCCAATCATATTTCATCTGTTGCTACTCTTTTCTTTTACTGTATAATATTTTATAGTAAATATATTTTATTTATAATTAAGAAATAAAGCAAGCTTTTTCCTTTTGAAAAGAAGAGCAGATAAGATTTGGAATAGCTAGTTAACAATTTGAAAAAAAATTGAATTAAATTTATACTTCATATTTGTGCCAAAATAAATTCCAGATGCATTAGAGATTCAAAAAAATTTTTTTTTTTTTTTAAGGAAGAAACAGTAGTAGAAGAAAATATAAGCAAACTTATTTGGAATGTAAAGATTGGTAGGTTAAACAAAATGTAGCAACAGGAACTATACATAAAAATCATCATATACCAAATTAAAAGGCAAGTGAAAAACCAGAAAAAAAAGTTGCATTTTGTCAAAAAATAATGCAGTAAACAAAAGACAAATGTCTGTAAGTATATATGGGCAATAGATATGAACAGGAAGTCCCAAAGAAGAAATAAAAATGGCCAATGAATGTATGAAAAAAAATTTACTTATTAGTAATTGAAGGCACACAAATAAAGTAATGACAGTACATGATTTTTCTCCTGAGTAATTGATAGAGAACATAAAGGGGAACAGCCACTCTCATAAACTATTGGAAATGTAAATTGGCAAAACCTTTCTTTTTTTTTTTTTTAAAGATTTTATTTATTTATTTGAGACAGAGAGAATGAGAGAGAGAGAGAGAGCACATGAGAGGGGGGAGGGTCAGAGGCAGAAGCAGGCTCCCTGCCGAGCAGGGAGCCCGATGCGGGACTCGATCCAGGGACTCCAGGATCATGACCTGAGCCGAAGGCAGTCGCTTAACCAACTGAGCCACCCAGGCGCCCGGCAAAACCTTTCTTGAGGACAACTGACAGTGCATTATGAAAACCGAATTTGGAATACCTTTGGCCTAATAATTACACTTCTAGGAATTTATCATGGCTATGCATAAAGATGTAGCTAAAGATATATTTATCACAGTACTGTTTATAATAGTAAAAAAACAAAAAATAACCAACATGCCCCCAAACAAGGAATTACTGTATTGAGTTTTAAGATTTTGGCATATCTGTTCCAAAGTATGGGCATATTATGCAGTATTTTAAAATAATATAGAATAATATTTAATGACATGTAAATCCAGTTGAAAACAATTGGATGTCCACTAAAAGTATTAACTGTGTTTATCTGGGGGTATTGAGATTATGGCTGTTATTTTATTTATGTACTTAATCTGATTTCTAAGCATGTATTTTGTAGTGGGACAAGCAAACTATTTTAAAAATAGTGATTGTTTTTAAGCAGTGACTTGGAATATATATGCTTTAGCTCTTTCTAATGATGCTCTGTCTATACAGACTTACTGTATAGACTTACTTGTTTTAAAATTCTGCACTTTTGGGGGCGCCTGGGTGGCTCAGTTGTTAAGCGTCTGCCTTTGGCTCAGGTCATGATCCTAGGATCCTGGGATGGAGCCCCTCATCGAGCCCCCGCATCGAGCCCCCGCATCGAGCCCCCTCATCGGGCTCCCCGCTCAGCGGGAAGCCTGCTTCTCCCTCTCCCGCTCCCCCTGCTTGTGTTCCCTCTCTCGCTGTCTCTCTCTCTCTGTCAAATAAATAAATCAAATCTTCCAAAAAAAAAAAAAGATTCTGCATTTTTCAAGAAGAAACTAAGGAAAAAAAACTAAGGAGGCAGTGTGGGGGAGGGGTGTGAATTAGCTTTATGGCCTGAAGTAAGTGGAAACTAAAAGAACAGCTGTTATTACTAGAAAACTCAGTGCTAAGAGATCTTTTGTTTTATTAGAGTTTAAAGTTGAATTTATTAATATAGAATAGGATTATTTGGCAAGAAGCTCTGTGCCACTGCAGTTTTAAGGATTACAATTATGACTGAGGGAACTGAAAATACATGCAATTGTCTCTCAATGCTATTTTTTTTCTGTCCTTGAGAAATTAGCTAAATAAGAAAACGAAGGTGTTGAAAAATCAGTGAGAGATATTGATTATGGCAGACACGTTCCATTTCTATGCCTTACTCGTTTTAAAAACCTTTGCCTGTAGATATCAAAACAGGAATTAGCTACTCTGAAAAGCAGCTGGTTATGATAAATTATGACTGTTTAAGAGACCAAGAAATCTTTAGAGAAAATTTTTATTAAAATTATTTCCAGTATCCTTATACTATTGCCCTAAAACAGCATAATTCACATTTTGTCTTTTAATACCCAAATTCCTTAGAGTGGTAAAAGTTGTACTTAATTGAATTATTTGGATCAATCTATTTAATCTGATTCTGAGCCTAGATTATTTCCTTTTCGGTGACTTTTTGTTTTTGTTTGTTTGTTTAAGATTATATTTGGGAATTTAAATATCTTTTTGTTCAGCGCAATGACATCCTAGAAAGCCTAGAATTGCATACAACATTTTGGTCATCCTGTGAGTGCCTGTTTGACGATGATATAAGGGCAATTACATTTAAAGCAAAATTTCAAAAAAGCATGCCCTCCTTTGTGAAGATGTCAGATTTAGCAACACACCTGGAGGATAAGCGTTCAGGTAAGTTCTTTATATACGTAAGATAGTGCTTGTTTTAATATAAGCAAGGGAAGCTACCATTTATGGGAAAAAATGTATAATTAAATATGAAAGTAAAATATAGATCACTGTAAACAGCTCAACCAGATATTTACATAGCTTGTTAGCTTTCTGCCTACAATCCTTTGAGGTTAATCTGTAATTATTAGGGATCACTTAAAAATACTTTTTGCATATATGTGCAAGCAGCTTATCACTTAATAAACCAGAAATAGAAAAATGACCCTAACCAGAGTCACTGTTGAGATAAGCATTTTATCAAGTTATTAAACTGTTACCTATACATGGTTGTTAAAATTTAGCATTGATACAGAATTCATGCAATTTGCTTACTGCTTTAGTGAAATGTAATAACATACTTCCTGAACTCACATATGTGTGTGTGTGTGTATGTATGTGTATAAAGTTCATCCTTAGAAACATACTACATAGAAGATTGCCTTTGGTGATGGATTTTTTTTTTTTTTAAAGATTTTATTTATTTATTTGACAGAGAGAGACAGCGAGAGCAGGAATACAAGCAGGGGGAGTGGGAGAAGGAGAAGCAGGCTTCCCACAGAGCAGGGAGCCTGATGTGGGGCTCGATCCCAGGACCCTGGGATCATGACCTGAGCCGAAGGCAGACGCTTAACGACTGAGCCACCCAGGCGCCCATTGGTGATGGATTTTATACACATACTCACACACTTTCCATGAACTTAATACCATTTAATTAATTTTGAGTGCAGTAGTAAAAGGAATATGTCTTAGGTTCAATATGCCATATGCTTTGGAATGAAGAGAGTAAAATAGTGAAAATAACTAGATAAATTGATACAATTTTAGTGGGAAATACTTTTCACTAAATTACATTCCTAAGTACAGAGATGATGCTAAAAGTATGCTAACTCCAAGTTAAAGGAATAACCAATTAAACAGCACTTGAAGCTATTTTTAAGGTTGCTAAATGCCAATAATCAGTAAATGCCAGTGATTATCAATTTTGGAAACTAACAGAATGTTTTCTGGTGGCTATTATAGCAATTGTTTTTAGAGGGGAAATGAGGGTTGAAAAAAATAGGAGGTTATCTATAGGTTTATTGTTACATAATTTAAGTTTTTTAATGAAGAGGAAAATGTTTGGTCAAAATTCTTTCTCAGAATTTGTATAAATAAGATTACCATTTTTGGTGCTTTTATAGGTTAAATTATTAGAATAACTCAGGAACTTTGGATTTTGATACTAACTTTTAATTTTATTCTCCCATTTGCATGAATAATTTTCTGCATTCTTATAGATGGTTTTAGATTTTATTAAATGCTAAATGTGGTTTAAGTGAAATAGGATTATTTTTACAATGTTCCAAAATGAAATGAGTTGGAACTCCTAAGAGATCACAGGCTAAGATTCTCAAGTATATTTCTGGAACTTTTTGCTAGCATGCTATGCCCCCTTTTGGTACATCCATGGAAATGTAAAAGTTGTGTCGTAAAGCAGGGATGATATCTCAGAGTGCTTTTCTAATATGGCTCAGAGTGTTAAATTTAAAAAGATTTTTTTTTTTTTTAAAGATTTTATTTATTTATTTGAGAGAGAGAGAGAGCACAAGAGGGGAGAGCGGGAGAGGGAGAAGCAGGCTTCCCGCTGAGCAGGGAGCCCGATGTGGGACTCGATCCCGGGACTCCAGGACCATGACCTGAGCCGAAGGCAGTCGCTTAACCAACTGAGCCACCCAGGCGCCCAAAAAGATTTTTAATAAAAGTTTTTAGGGTGTAATTTTTGTACAATAAACCACCCTTACTTGAAGTATCCACATTCACACTGGTGAGTTTTGACGCAAGATCCATGAAACCATCACCACAGTCGTGAAACCATCACCAGTCTGCCCCTTTGTAATCTCTCCCTTCCCTGCGTACCTGCCCTCCTGATCCTTTGAGGCAATCAATCTGTCACTGGAGATTAGTTTGAATTTTCTATGATATTATATACATGGAATCTACATTATGTACACTGTTTTGTTTGGCATCTTTAATTAAGCAAGTTCTTTTGAGACATATCTATGCTTTTGTGCATATCAGTAGTTCATTCCTTTTTATTCTCTTGTACGAACATACCATGATGTGTCTATCTGTCCATCTGTTGATGGACATCTGGGTTGTTTCCAGTTCTTGGCTCTTTTAAGTAAAGCTTCTATAAACATTCATGTACAAAGTGTTATATGGACATAGTCTTTCTTTATTCGTGAGTAAATACCTGGTAGCTGAATAAGCTGAAGGATTATATGGTAGGTATATGTTTAATTTTTTAAGAAACTGCCAAACTGTTTTCCAAAGTAGTTGTAGCATTTTGTATTTCCACCAAGCAGTGTGTGAAAGTTCTGTTTTTCCCACATCCTTGTCAACACTTGGTATGGGCTTTCTTTTTAATTTCTGTAACAATAGGTCATTGTGGTTTTATTTTTTATTTTCTTAAAAGATTTTATTTATTTATTTGACAGAGAGAGACACAGCGAGAGAGGGAACACAAGCAGGGGGAGTGGGAGAGGGAGAAGCAGGCTTCCCGCGGAGCAGGGAGCTGGCCCGATGCAGGGCTCGATCCCAGGACCCTGGGATCATGACCTGAGCCAAAGGCAGACGCTTAACGACTGAGCCACCCAGGCACCCAGGTCATTGTGGTTTTAATTTGCATTTCCCTATTGGCTAGTGATATTGAGCATCTCTTCATGTACTTAGTTGCCATCCACATGTCTTCTTTGATGAAGTGTCAACTGAAATCTTTTGCCCATTTAAAAACAAAGCGTTGATTATTTTCTTATTATTGATTTTTGAGAGTTCTTTATATTTTGGGTAAAAATTATTTGTTAGATATAGGCTTTGCAGATATGTTCTTCCAGTCTGTTACTAGTCTGTTCATTCTCTTAACCAGGCTTTTTGAAGACCACAAGTTTGGAATTTTGATGAATTCCATTTTATCCATTTGTTCTTGTATGGTTTCCTATTTAGAAAATGTTTGCCTTACCCAGCATCACAAACATTTATGTCCTTTGTGTTATTTTAGAAGTTTTAGAGTTTTAGGGTTCACATTTGGGTCCATGATCTATTTTGAGTTAATTTTTATGTATGGTGTGAGGCATGCTTGGAAGTTCTTTTCCTTTTTGCGTATGAATATCCAGCTGTTTAAGCCCCATTTGTTGAAAAGATTACTATTTTTCCAGTGAATTGCTTTTACCCTTTTGTCAAAATCAGTTGTTCACACATAAATGATCTATTTTTGGGCTTTCTCTTCTATTTTATTGATCTATTTGTTTATCTTTATACCAGTACCACACTATTTTGACTACTGTAGCTTTTATAATATGCCTTGAAGTCAGATATTTTTAGCCTTCCAACTTTGTTCTTTTTCAAAGTTGTTTTGGCAATTCTAGGTCCTTTGCATCTCCATGTGAATTTTAGGATTAGTTTGTCAATTTCTAGAAAAAAGTCTGCTGGGATTGTTTTGAAGCTATGCATCAATTTGAGGGAGAATTGACATAATATTGAGTTTGCCAACCTAAGAACAAGATACATCTTTTATTTCTCTTAGCTGCGTTTTGTAGTTTTCAGAATATAGGGCTTTCATATCTTTCTTCAGACTTCTATTTTCTGTTTTTCTGCTATTATAATTGGCGCTTTTTAAAATTTCAGTTTCAATTGTTTGTTGCTATTGTGTAGAAATATAGTGATTTTTGTATATTGATCTTGTCTTTTGTAACCTTGCTAAACTCACTAAGCTCAATAGTAACTCTTTGGTAGATTTGAATTTTCTACATCTGTGAAGAAAGACAGTTTTATTTTTTCCTTTCCAGTCTGGATGCCCCTTATTTATTTTTCTCACCCCTTTGCACTTGATGACTTCTCTAATATTGAAAAAAGTTGTAAGAGCAAGCGTTTTTACCTTGTTTCTGATCTTAGGGAGAAAACATTCGTTATTTCATTATTAAGTATGACTTTGGCTTACGGTTTTCCTCAGTGCTTTCTATAAGGCTAATGAAGTTGCCTTTTATTCCTAGTTTGCTGAAAAATTTTTTTTTCTTATCAAGAATGGGTGTTAGAATTTATCAAATGCTCTTTCTCCATCGATTGAGATGATCATAGAGTTTTTCTTTTGCAATCTTTTAATGTAATTACATTGATTGCTTTTTGAATGTTAAAACAGCTTTGCATTTATGGGGTAAACCCCACTTGGTCATGACGTGTCCCTTTTCTATGTTGCTGGATTTAATTTGCTAACATTTGTTAAGAATTTTTATGTTTGTGTTCATGAAGGATATGTGTAGTGTTTTTTTTTCTTGTAATAGCTTTTTCTGCTTTTGGAATAGAATTAGAATAATGCTCATGGAATGAGTTGGGATGTAGTTCCTCCTCTCCGGTTTTCTGGAAGAGTTTGTTTAGAATTAGAATGTTTTCTTCCCTACATGTTTGGTAGACTTTCTCAGTGAAGCCCTGTGGGCCTGGAGTTTTCTTTATTGGAAGGTCTTAACTACACACAGGCAGTGGGGAGCTCCATTTAACTTGGTGTCACGGAGAAGTCAGCTCTGTTAGCTACTGCTTACACCGAGCAGCTACCTCCTGGAATTGAATACGTAGAATTAGATTTTAAAATAAAAATCACCATCGTGAATACTAATAAAATAGATGCTCACAGCTCTGAAGATTTGGTTTGGGGAATGAGGCTGGGGATTGGGAATATCCTTGCAAATGCTGGAGATGGGCTCCCCATTGGTAAACCACGCAAAAACTTTGTGTTGTTACAGTCAGTCCCTGGTAGGCTGTGTTCAGAGAGGGCCTTTTAGCCAATTTTCATTCTCTTTATGTTCAGCTCTGAGGGCTGAATTCGTAGTTTCTGTGTTTTTTTTTTTTTTTTTAAGATTTTATTTATTTATTTGACAGAGAGAGACACAGCGAGAGAGGGAACACAAGCAGGGGGAGTGGGAGAGGGAGAAGCAGGCTCCCCACTGAGCAGAGAGCACACATTCGGCTTGATCCCAGGACCCTGGGATCATGACCTGAGCCAAAGGCAGATGCTTAATGAGTGAGCCACCCAGGTGCCCCTGTTTATGTGTTTTTAAGACAGAAATGGAGAGAGCATGTGGGAGTACAAGTAATTTTTTCCTAACCTGCTTCATAATTAAATAAAAGGAGTGAGATAGGGAGCTCAACATGGGAGAATTTCCTAAGAGGGTCTGCTGTCTTAACAAAGCTTAACAGAAGCTGGATGGGGTGAAGCTGCGCCCGGCTCCTCGTCAAGAAATGAAAGTGCTTACTCAGCATCCGGTCCTGCCATCAGCAGAATGTCAGTGCCCAGCACGCTGTAAGCCCCTTGGAAGCAGAGTCCTCATTAATCATGAACTTTTAATTCTTTTATAGAAGTGTGTAAGTTTATAAAATGTGTGGAGTGATGTTAACGTTCTTCTAAAATGATTGAATTCTTTCATTAATAGTGATACAACATGTCTGCGGCAAGGTGTGATTTAGAGTGTGCTGTAGTTTATTGGGTATGCTGACCACTACACACTCTTGTAATTCATGTAGGGATACAGGGCATGATTGGAGAAGATGATAAAACAACCTTGGGGCGCCAAAAGACTAAAGCAAACAGAAGGACTTAAGAATAGGAAAGTCACCATTAGTGGGACTCTTAAAGAGATAACCCGAAAAGAGAATAGGTAGCCAGAAGGATGAGTTCCTGACCTGAAATGTACCACCTGCTAAAAGGATGAAGAAAAGCAAATCCAAAGACTTAAAAAGGGCTTTAAACTGAATCTTGAGAGGAAGGGAGAAGATAAACTCAGATGAACTTACAGACCTTACGGCAAAGGTAAATTAGAAAAAAAGAATGTCTGGCAGATAAAGAAACTCAGTATTTGTTTAACAGGTGAATGCATGAGCCAGTGAGAGTGAATGAACATGCCCAAGGTCATGGTGAGTCACACATTTTGTAAATGAGAACTCTCGGTGCTCACGTACTCTACAACCAGTGCCCATAGTATGGATGGTGATGGGCGGGAAATTGAAAAAAAAAAAAGTTTAAAAAGAGGATAAGCTAGTGGTATGTTTGTTTTGGATAAAGTAGAGACTGGAAGAATAACTGACCTGCTATTTGACTTTCAGCAATGATCAATTAAAAAGAAGGATGGGAAGAGAGGTGTTAGCTAGTTTCAGGTGTTTCGAAGGGATTTCTACTGAAAGAGGGAGAGACCTTATTTTGCATGATTCCAGAGGACAGGGAGGAAGAAAACACCCACCTGTGCAGCCAAACTAGCCAAATAAATCTTCACTCTTAGTTATGGGCAACAGCAGCTTACCTCTCACTTTTCAGAGTAAACACCGAAGCCGCAAGCAGGTGAAATTGTCCAGGGAAAGAGTGAAGGAAGGAAGACCAAGAACGAGTCCTCGGGCATATCCTTTACTATAAGTGACTCAATCAACCTTATCATTAACTATGTTCATAAATTAAAGTTATGATTTTGGTCCTATAATTTATACACACTTCTTTTTGTCTCTTGTAGGAGTGATTCTAATCAAAGCCCAGATTTTAGAGTTAGTGATTCCTATCCCAGCAGCTCAGAAGATAGCTCTAAATGCCCGCAGCTCTCTGAGGAGCATCTTCTCTTCTCTTCCGGACATTGTATATACTGGCTGTGCAAAATGCGGATTGGAACTGGAAACAGACAAGAACAAGATCTATAAACAGTGTTATAGCTGCTTGCCATTTACTCTGAAGAAGTTATACTACAGGTGAGGCAGCCAAGCAAGCCATTGGAATGGAAAAGATTTATTATTATATGACTGGACATGACCGAAAAATTGCATATATCAATTCTTACTTTCTAATGAGAACTAACTAGAACTAATCCAAGAGAATAAAAAATTTCCCCTGGCTATTTATGAAAGCAAAAATTGTCCAGTAATCATAACAGGGATTTTTAAAAGCAGTAATTGGAAGACTTATTATCTTCAAGCAGCTATATTGAAGAAAATTTTTACTTGGTTTATATTTTTAACCAAGATCTAAATGGCTCATAAGAAACTGATTTCCATACTTTAGCATCTAATTGGAATTTAAAGGTTAAAACTGTTCTATCATCTAACCTCTCAGTGTGGAAGCTAATAAGATGTTTAACTTTTCTGTGCCTCAGTTTTCCCAGCTTCACATTAGAAATTAAGGATTGCAAATGTTCTTTGGTAAAATTGCAAACCAGCTCAGTGAAAAACACATTTTTCAAATAATAAATGTTCAAAAGCTTGGATAAATTTTTTCTTTTTACCTGGTAAATTGCATGCCTTTATAAAATAGCCACCAGTGTTTTATGCTCTTTTCTGTTTCTAAATACTACAGTATCTAAAAACTAAATGCAAATGTATTCAGCATGTTATCATGGTGTACGTTAAGAATATTAACAGAAGCTTAATCCATAAACCTTATTTCCCTTTACATATGTGTGTTATAAATAAGTAAATAGATTTTGCTCTTACTCTGAAAGTTGCTTGTATGGAAAAGAAAATTAAATTAAGATGCATGGTATATAAGAAATAAAGTTAATTAGGGGCGCCTGGGTGGCTCAGTCGTCAAGCGTCTGCCTTTGGCTCAGGTCATGATCCCAGCGTCCTGGGATCAAGCCCCGCATTGGACTCCCTGCTCAGCGGGAAGCCTGCTTCTCTCTCTCCCACTCCCCCCCTGCTTGTGTTCCCTCTCTCGCTGTCTCTCTATCAAAAAATAAATAAAACCTTTTTTTTAAAAAAGAGATTTGTTTATTTATTTGAGAGAGAGAGAGAGAGCATGGAGGGGAAGGTCAGAGGGAGAAGCAGACTCCCTGCTGAGCAGGGAGCCCGATGCGGGACTTGATCCTGGGACTCCAGGATCATGACCTGAAGTGAAGGCAGTCGCCCAACCAACTGAGCCACCCAGGTGCCCGTAAATAAATAAAATCTTAAAAAAAAAAAAAAGAAATATAGTTAATTAAAATTGATTTCTTATCAATAGTTAAGGCTCCTTACAGAATGTGTGTGTTATTTTATGTCATTCTTAATGTTCCTAATCAATGTAATTATTTATTGGACAAAAATGTTACTCAATAAATATCCCTTATGGAGAAGACAGACTTTGAATCTTCAGTCTAAAGAATAACTATTCAAGGGGCACCTGGGTGGCTCAGTCGGGTAAGCGTCTGCCTTCGGCTCAGATCATGATCCCAGGGTCCTGGGATCGAGCCCCGCATCGGGTGGCTTGGCGGGGAGCCTGCTTCTCCCTCTGCCTGCCACTCCCCTGGCTTGTGCTCTCTCTCTCACTATCTCTCTCTCTGTAATAAATAAATAAAATCTTTAAAAAAAAAAGAATAACTATTCAAGAGAAGGACTTCACAGATCATTATCACCTGACTATGGTATAACCTAGTATGAGGTATATACGGTATAGTTCTAAACTATAGTGCATTGAAGATGTGCAAATTTTTTGTGTTGCTAGAATGTTGATAGACATGCTAAAGCAAGAGTTGTTTTTGTTATTTATTTAAAAGCCTTTAAATTGTGTTTAGGTTTAGGATTCAGATTATTTGATTTCCTTAAAAAGAAATTTTTTTGTTGTTAAAAAGAAAATCTTGAGATTAAATGACAGATTCCTTCAAATTATCAAGTACCGTGATTCAGAAATCATTGCATGAGTCATCACTTACGATTCTACATAGGTCAGTAGCAACCTGAATAAGAAAAAGCTCTGATTGCTTATTTTTCAAAGACCCAAACAATCAAGTTGCGTATCCACATATGTTCACCCAATATTTAGTAATGTGGATGTTATGCTGATTGATGTAAGCATACTTCTTGTACTCAAAAGCTCTTATGAAATACCTAATAAACATTTGTATGGCATGACAGTCCCATGCTGTGAGTGGACCAATTACATTTGATGTTGGTTGTTTTTAACTTGGAACTGATTTTCCAGTGGCAACATTAGATACCATGGTTTGAGTCTCATTCCCACCTGCAAAAAGGATTACCTATGTGCTGGTGACTTTCGTTGGCATCTCCACCCTGGTTTTCTCCTCCAAGCTGCAGTAGCTAGATACTCAATTCCCCACTTGAATGTGTTTCAGGCATCCCACACTAAAAATACCTGAGCTCGGCTCTCTTATTATTCCTGTCTATATCAAACTGGGTTCTTCCCATTTTCATACTTCCCAGTACATGGCATCACCGTCTACGCCATTAACCTAGAAACCTGCACATAGCCCTTGAATTATTCCTTTTTCCTTACCTCCCATGTCTAATCTACTGGCAAGTCCTATGAATTTTCATCCAAAACCGTATCATAAATTCACCCTCTTTTTTCCATCTCCACTGTTCCTTAACCTCAGGGGCACTAGTGACATTTCAGGCAGGACAGTTTCTCGTTGTTAGGGTACCCCACACATTGCAGAGCATGTGGCATCTTGTTTACCTGGCCTTGCCAAAACCTCAGTTATCATGAAACCAGAACAGGGAGTCAGGACCTCCTGGTCCCGAAGCACATGGGCCTAGTCCGGGCCACTGCTAGGTCTTGCTCCAACTATCAGAGTAGTGGTCTCTTAGTTGGCCTCCTTCGGCCTTGGCCCCCTTCTGTCCATTCTCTACACAGCTGACGGGGTGATCACTGCCTGACTTAAACACCTCCTGGTAGTTTCCGTTTACACTCTGCTGCCATGCTTTCCCTTGCTCCCTGTGTTCCAGCCCCCTGGCCTTCTTTCGGTTCCTTGGTCACCCCGATGTTTTTTTCCTTGCGCTTTCTTGCATGTTCTTCCCTCCGCTCGACTCCACGTCTTAGTTTTTTTTTTTTTTATTTGAAGAGAGAGACAGCGAGAGAGGGAACACAAGCAGGGGGAGTGGGAGAGGGAGAGGCAGGCTTCCTGCTGAGCAGAGAGCCAGATGCGGGGCTCGATCCCAGGACCCTGGGACCACGACCTGAGCCGAAGGCAGACGCTTAACGACTCCACGTCTTAGTTTAAGCGGCACTACATCAGAGGGACCTTCTTTTTTTTTATTATTATTATTTTTAAATTTTTTATTGTTATGTTAATCACCATACATTACATCATTAGTTTTTGATGTAGCGTTCCATGATTCATTGTTTGTGCATAACACCCAGTGCTCCATGCAGAATGTGCCCTCAGAGGGACCTTCTTAATACCCCCTTTATTTTCTGTGACAGCACCGTGTGTGTACTCACTGCAATTTGTACTTGTCTAGTTGTATGCCATCTTCTCTAAAAAACATCTTTACTGGGCTAGAATTCACGTAGCATCAAACGGACCCATCTAAAATGTATGATCCCTGGTTTTAGTATATTCACAGGGTTGTCACCGTCCCCACAGTCCATTCTTAGAGACATTTTCATCCCCCAGAAGCCCCATTTCCATTAGCAGTCACCCCCACTCCCCCCAACTCAGCATTTGGATTGGTCCCACATTCTGGCTGTTATGAATAGTACTGCTGTGAAGATTTGTGTACAAATTTTTAGTGGATATGTGTTTTAGAATCGCTGGGTTGTATGGTAATTCTATGTTTAATTTTTTGAGGAACTGCCAAACTGGTTTCCAAAACTGTTGCACAACTTTACATTCTCACCAGGAATATATGAAGTTTCTGCACATTCTTGCCAACATTTTTTATTATCCGTTTTTCTTTTTGTTGCTTGTGCTTTTCAAAGGTATCTGTATCTAAGAAAGGTATCATTCCTAAGCCAAGATCATGGAGATTTACTCCTTTATTTTCTTACTAGAATTTTATAGTTTTAACTCTTTATGTATAGGTCCATGATGTATTTTGAATTAATGTAAGGAAGGGGTCCAGCTTCATTTTTTTACGTGCGAATATCCAGTTGTCCCAGCATGATTTGTTGAAAAGATGATTCTATCTCTGTTGAATTATCTTGGCACCGCACCATTGTTAAAACGCTTATTGTCTTTTTGTCCCACTAAACTCTTACGCTCCTCGAGTGAAGGAACCAGATCTGTCTTGTTTGCTATTGTGTACCCAGTGCTTAGCACAGTGCTGGGCACATAGTACATATTGAGTATGTATTTGCTGAAATAAAGAATGGAGGAACAGAGAGAGCATGGAGAAAGAGGAAAGACCTAGAATCATCATGTGGGTAAAAGGGGAAGTAGGTTTTTTGAGGGAAAATCAGTAGTATTGTTTGAGCTGTTAAATGAAATTCCTCTATATTAATGAGTCTGTTTCTACAATCTGTTCTCAGGGCCCCTGGGTGTTTCAGTTGGCTGAGGGTCTGACTCTTGATTTCAGCTCAGGTCATGATCTCAGGGTCATGGGATCGAGCCCTGTGTCGGGTTCCCCACTCAGCACAGTCTGCTTGTTCCTCTCCCTCTGCTCCTCCCCCCACTTATACTCTTTCTCTCTCTCCCTCTCTCTCAGATTAAAAAAAAAATCTGTTCTCAATTTATTTTTAACAATTAATTAATCTTTTTTTTTGAAGATTTTATTTATTTATTTGAGAGAGAGAGAATGAGAGAGAGCACATGAGAGGGGAGAGGGTCAGAGGGAGAAGCAGACTCCCTGCCCAGCAGGGAGCCCGATGTGGGACTCGATCCAGGGACTCCAGGATTATGACCTGAGCCGAAGGCAGTCGTTTAACCAACTGAGCCACCCAGGCGCCCAACAATTAATTAATCTTTAAAAGAGGTAATATGACCATGGTAAAAATGCAAACTGTAGAGGAAGATATAAAGCAACAAGTTTCTCCCCATCCACCCCTCCACCATCGGTTCTACTTCCTTGCTCGTAGGAGGTTTTTGTATATTCTTCATACCAGCGCATGTATATCCCTTTCTTTAAAAATACATAGATATGGGGCTCCTGGGTGGCTCAGTCGGTTAAACGCCTGCCTTCGGCTCAAGTCATGATCTCGGGGTCCTGGGATGGAGCCCCGCATCGGGCTCCCTGCTCAGTGGGAAGCCTGCTTCTCCCTCTTCCTCTGCCGCTTCCCCTGCTTGTGCTTTCTCTCTCTGTGTCTCTCTCTCTCTCTGTCAAATAAATAAATAAAATCCTTAAAAAAATAAAAATAGAATATTATCCATTTTGTTTTATTCATAGTATTTGTTCCATAGAGTACATCATGGCCTTCCTTCCCTAATAGCGCTTATAAACCTTCATCATTCTTTTAACAGCCACATAGTACTGCACTGTAGCACATACTGAAAATGATTTATCTAGTTCCCTATTGATCTACTTGCAAAACAGTCTGGTTTTGATAGGAAAGAATCCAGTGGGGAAAAATAACTTGAAATTATGATTGTGAAATATTGTGATTATTATCTTTATTTTTATTTCTAAGAATAATTTATACAACAGTGTAAAAATGTTTTCTTATATTAGTATCTGAAATTTTAAAATGAATAAGGAATAAATCAAATTTATTAATTTGTCATTTGAAAAAAAAATTTTTTTTTAAAGATTTTATTTATTTATTTGACAGAGAAAGAGACAGCGGGAGGGAACACAAGCAGGGGGAGTGGGAGAGGGAGAAGCAGGCTTCCCGCCGAGCAGGGAGCCCGACGCGGGGCTCGATCCCAGGACCCTGGGATCATGACCTGAGCCGAAGGCAGATGCTCAACGACTGAGCCAGCCAGGCGCCCCGTCATTTGAAATTCTTAAAAAGAAAAAAAAACCCTTCTTTTTTTTCTAGGATGTTTCAGAACGTCCTAGAGTTGTTTTAGGAATTAAGATGAACCCTGCATAAAAACCCAGTGCTCTTTGAAATTACATGGTACTTACGTGTTTCTTTAATTTGAACATGTTATTGAAGGTCACATGTTATTTACTGTTTTGTAGGCCAGCTGTAATGACCATAGCTGATGGAATATATAAGGTTTGCATCCACGTAGGATCAAAGCTGATTGAGAAGATTCTTCTCAACATTTCTCCTGACTGGCTCAACAGAGTTATAGGTAAGATGGCAGCATACCATCGAGAGGTGGTTGGTGGTGAAACCACTCGTTTCAGGGGTGTTGACAGTATATTGGAACAGAAAGAACACTCTACTGTAAATTAAGGTTTTTTTCCTGTCAGTGCAAAAGCTTGAGTGGAACAAAGAGGATGAAGTTGGAAGATAAGCCTTGCCCTACACCTGCCATGACAGCCACGCTCAGCCTTGCATCTCTGCAGGTCTTTTGCAGTCCTCCCTTCTCCCAGCAGTAGGGCACCACCGATGCTCTTGATCTTGGAGGTTTCCTGCCCCTCCCCCAGGGATGGAAGGATTTTTCTTTTATCTATCCTCCATGTTCAGCCCTGGGGCAATAGGATTTGCCGACCTTCCTCCAGCAGTTTAAGGCTCTCTTTCCTTAAAGGAGCGTCCAGAATGATGTTTTGTGTTTTCCCTTGTGGCAGCTTCTCCCTCCCTTTCTCCAGACTTCACCATGGTTGGAAGCTTTCTCTATGTCCTGCCCTCTGTCCAGGCTTGTGAGCACCTGGTGGGGACGAGAAGAGCCCGCCAGGGTGCAGACTCCCCTTGCCTGAGACACTGGCCCACACTTGACTTTCAGCAAGTCATGAAAAATTGTAGCGCATTCTTCCTTCTTGCTTGTTGGGTGGATGTGTCTTCTTTCTGAGCTCGCCGCGGTAACCCTGTGCTCCTGCTGTCTCCTCTCATTTCAGTTGGCTTGGCTGCCTCACTGCCTCGGCTCTCCTAGAGGCTCCACAAATTGTGATTTTGTAGTGTCTTCAGTTTTTCTAGTAATTGTTAAGGTTGGAGCCATGTTCTTTCCAGCTTTCCACATCCTAACCAGAAGTCTGTCTGTCCTTTTTTATTCACTGTCTTTATTACCATTCATTCTTCTGGCTGTTTTGTTCCCTCTGTCAGTGTTCTTTGTTGTATTTTCAGTCTTGACTTTTCATTTTTGGCACAATACCAGTTAGCCTCCACTTCTCAGAGGAGGACTGTTCTCAGATCAAGTCTATGTTCACGTTTTGCCCATTCCCGAGTCAAAGTTGTACTTCCTGGCATTAATTAAATTGCAACCCTAAGTGAAATTGTGGGCACCAGTTATAAAGTGGTCATCAGACCATTCAAATTATCACTAATCTTGATTTTCTTTTTTAGCTTATCCAAGTGAAAATACAAAAGATTTAAGTATTGTAGAGAATTCCCTCACCTCCAAAAACATGTGATTGGCTGCCTGGGAGTCCATAGACCCAACTCAAGAGGGGTGGGTGGTGTTGGTCAGGGAACGAGTGTAGTTTGAGTGGCTGGTCGTGCCTGGCCAGCCTAGCATTGAGCACCCGGCTCAGGACCTGGACTTGATAGCCTAAAAAAAAGGAAGACTATGAGACAAGTGCAAAAATACAGTAACATCTATCTGTAATTTCAGTATTTTTATATTATCAAGATTTGATATTCATTAAGTCACTGACTCAGGGTTCTGTTGTATAAACTATCTAGATAACTGGTAAGAGCTGTCGACTGGATAAAGAAGATGACTTTTCTGACATGGACACGCTCTTTCTGTGTCAGGCTTGACTTAGGAAGATGTTAACGTCGTTCTTTCCTCTGTTGTTTTAAGAAGCCAAGAGCTGTGCCGTAGTAGGAAATGCCGTCACTCTGAGCAGCCTGTCCTCGATCAGCAGGCATGGAGGGTCCTCATTCTAGAACATCTTCAGCACCTGTGACTAGAAGGAGAGGGGATAGAAAGGGAAATTTCCGGTGGGTGCGGGGCTTGAGAACCAAGGGGACAGCGACCCCTTTGGCTGTGTGCGTTTCTGGCGTGCGGGCAGGGAGCCTAAGAGCTGCGTGTTTCCGTGTTCCTCAGCACCTCCCTCAGAGATCACCTATGCCATGGTGGCCGCCGACTTGATCCACTCGCTGGTGGCCGGCGGCGGCGCCCCTTGCGCGGTGAAGGCGCAGAGCCTCTTCGTGTTGGATGAGAACAGCTGCCCGCTGCAACAAGAGTTCTCCCTACTGGATTTTTATCCCGACAGTGGCAAGCCTGTACCCAGTGCCCTCCTCTGAGACCGGAGGGGGAAGTGGCAGGTACTTCAAGGAAGATGGCTGAACTGATTTGCCTTTTCGAGAGAAATGAATGACAGGGCTTTACCTGGGCGTTAAAAAAAAAAAAAAAAAAAAAAAAAAAAAAAAAATATATATATATATATATATATATAATATGTATATATATTAAAATATATTATATTTATATATATATTTTTATAAAGAGAATTGTATTAAATATATAAATTAAAACTTTTTTTCTAGGAACATTCTGTGAGGTGTTCTGTCTGTTGTTTGGTCTTTTCCTTTCCTGCTTCTAGAGGAAGTATCTGGCAATAAAGGCCATATGTAGCACCTCCCTGGGAAGCTCACTCTGTTGGTCCCTGCTCCATTCCAGCGCTCTACTAAGGACCCAGGACACAGACAAAAGACATTTCCTCGGGAGTGGCTTTCTGTCATGCTCACAAACTCTCAGCGCTTTCCCTTTAATAAACTGTCAATGTGAAATGATTTCCTCGGTTATAATTATACATGGTAATGGGTTAGTTTGTATAAGACTGTGTTTAGACAAGTTCAAGACAAGCATGTCTTTCTATAAAGAAGCAATGAAAATGAAGGAAACAGATCCTGCTTTAACTCGTTTTATAAAACGTGGAAGAGTCATGTTGTTAGTTCATTTCTAGGATCTCAGTGCCTTACTGAGTTTACTTATTAACAAACATTTAGTGATTTGTTCTCCCATTAGGATTATAGAAGAAGCCCGTATAAAATAGTAGTCACTGATGAGGAAATGTGGAAGGGCGCCTAACCTGGAAGTCTGGAGTATGCTGAGGGTTAATAGGTTAAAAATATTGCTTGAAAAAAACTAAATTCGTGACCAAATGGACATGTTTGTTTTACCATACATGTGCTTTTAAAAATTATTTTGGTTCATTGTACTTGTTTTCTCTAATTTAGGGATGCTTTTTTTTTTAACTTGAACCTCAGGAGTTTTGTGATTCTCCCAAAAATAATATGTAAAAATGTGTGTGAGAGTGCACACACACACAAGTACATCTTTCTATGGAGGAGGTCAGTCATTCTCAGCAAATCCTCAGAAGGATCCTTGACCAAAAAAGGCGAGGGAGGTGGGGTAGGAACAAGCGCTCTACTTGGTGAGTTAATTCCTGGGGAAGGAAGGGATTAAGTCAAATGATTGCCTGCACCCAGTAAGGTGGGTAGAAAAAGAGTTGTCCCCGTGTTGTACGTAGAGAAACAAGATAGTTGGCTCTCCCAGATAATTCACGTGATGGGTGACGAATCTCAAGCCCAGAGCTGATGTCTTCTAAGCCATGCTCTTTCAACTATAAGCACAGTAGAAGCAAATCTGGAATTCTGATATAAAATTTGCCAGTCAGTGTAAGCCTACCAAGAGCGCTGTTCTCTTAAACTTGCCTTCCCCACTTTGTCCTCAAGATGCGGCCTAATCCTTTTATCAACCAAAACACAGCCCCCTGGAATAGACGGCTCTTCACACCCTTTTGGGAAGAAGTCTCTAAGCCATTTTAAGTGAGACCAAGAGCACCAGGTCACACCAATATCTCTTCACAGATTTTGGTCCATAGTTCATAGGTTAACCCATATTTCTGGAACCCTTATTTGGGCTGAAAATAACTTCCTTCTGTCCTGAGGAAATTATCATGTATTTAATTTAAACTGCCATAGCTCCCAGGTGATTCCTTACCCATGATGTACAGGTAAGTATATTTAACCTACTCCACAAATTTTTATAAAAATCAGGTAGCCTAAGAATGTCAGCCAATCCAGCAGTCTTATGTCTGGCAGACATTTTAGGTAAATCGCATTTTTTATCTGACAGTTCAGCTGAGAGGGACAGTTCTCAGGTCTTAAGTTGTTTACAACTAGTCTTCCATTAATTTAGGTTTACCTGAATGGGTGACCACAGGCTGTTAACATGGCTTTCTTAGAAGAAAATATCTCTACTTTCTCAGAACAACATAGAGTGAAACAGAAAATGTGCCATCCCTGTGTCTTTCATTTTAAATGATGAATTTGTGTCCTGGATGGTCTCGAGATGGTGCGATATGGTTCCCAAATCGGAACAATTAGAATAAAGTGTTCATCTTTTCTGAGACTTTAACCCTAGCCCCTGTTTTAAGGCCAATAGGGTGAGAAATAGGTGAGAGGGAGGAGGTTTGCCAGTTAGTTGTTATTCTGTCTTTGGGGGTCTTAAACCTGGTTCGTCATCAGGAAGTGAACTCCACCCACTCAAGGAATACATTTGCTAAGGGTGAGCTGTCTGCTTCCAAGACATCTCTCCCTTTGCTCCCACTTGGCGGCCTGGGGCTGGAGGAGGGCATGAACTGGCAGTGAGACCACTTCTCCCCAGTCCCTTCCCTGTCCCCCAAGGCCCAGCTCCTGCAGGGACTGAGGGCAGGGAGGAAACAGGACAGGGGACAAGGGTTTCATGACAAACCAGCTCCCATCATGGTCCTCTCTTGGGGGGATCCTGACTGCCGGTGCCTTCTGAACAGCAAGCACCCAATGCTGCTCTTTCTAGAACACGTGCTGGAGTTCTTCGGAGGGCTTCTCCTTCTTACACAGCATCTGCACCGTTTCTTGTCAGGGGAGATCATGCTCCTGCCTCATCTCTTCCACCCCTCAACTCCCTCCAGATGTCAGCTCTTCTCTTCACCCCAACTTCTCTCTCTGACTCACTTCACTCCACGCCCAGATGTGCACAAGGCAGCAGGTCAGCAAATTCTCTGCATAACTGGACAGCAGACAAACTGAGGGATTGCCCTTATTTACATAATGTGTGTAGTGCAATTTAAGTTATGTAACATTGTGATCATACCGTGTGGAAGAATCTCACCAAAATGATATCATGATTACTCTGGGTGGGGAACTGGGGCCTGGTTTTACTTTCTCCTTTATGATTGTTTTTATCTGATGGAATTACTAGGAAAATTTCCCTAATTTCTGAAGAACACAAATTCCCTATATTAAAAAGATTACTTACCAAATATAGAAAAAGGTAATATGGTTTTGATCACAGAAATTAACACCACCTACTAGATGTAGATACTTCATGGGGTGGCAGCCAAGCCCACAATGATACCGCTTCTCTGGTCCATGTCTATATTTGGTTTGATTCCTTGGCAAAAACCGATTACTCACAGACAGTAGGATACCTGACTCAAGCTGGGCCAATCAGATTGTTTTTTCCAGAGTTAAATTAAGATTTATGCAGAGTAAAAAAAAAAAAAAAGATTTATGCAGAGTAAAATGCACAGATCTTAAATGTACAGTGTGCTGAATTTTTTTTTTTTAAGATTTATTTATTTATTTATTTGAGAGCGAGAGACTGAGAGAGAGAGAGCACATGAGAGGGGGGAGCGTCGGAGGGAGAAGCAGACTCCCTGCCAAGCAGGGAGCCCGATGTGGGACTCGATCCCGGGACTCCAGGATCATGACCTGAGCCGAAGGCAGTCGCTTAACCAACTGAGCCACCCAGGCGCCCCAGTGTGCTGAATTTTGACAAATATATACATTCATGTAGCCAATACTACCATCAAAATTTAGGTTTCCATCTCTCTAAAAATTTCCCTCATTTCCACTTCCAGTCAATCCCCGCCCATACAGGCAACCACTTTTCTGATTTCGATCATCACAGATTAGTTTTTTCTGCTCTGGAACTTCATATAAATAAAATCATGTGGTTTATATTCCTTTGTGACTTGCTTTTTTCACACAACAGTGTTTTTTTTGAGATTCATCCAGATTTTTATGTGACTCGGTAGTTCGTTCTTTTTATTAGTGAATAATATGCCAGTGTATGAATATATTACATTATCTATTTTCTGATCAAAGGTCATTTGGGTTGTTTCCAGTTTGGGGCTGTTATGAATAGTTGCTATGAACATCCTTTTTGCAAGTCTTGCTGTGGACATATGTTTTCAGTTTGGGGTATGGGGGGGAGCGATAAATACCTGTGACTGAGATAGCTGGTTTATAGGGTAGGTATATATTTCATTTCATAAGAAACTGCCGAACAGCACTCCAAAGTTGTACAACTTTACACACAAGCCATGTATGAGGGTCCCAGTTGTTCTGCTTTGCCACAATTTGGAGGGGCCAATCATTTTTACATAGCCATTCTACTGGGTCTGAAGAGATAGCTCACGGTTTTAGTTTGTGTTTCTCTGATGACTAATGCTGTTGAGCAACTTTTCATGTGCTTATTTGTTGTCTATGCATCTTCATTTGTGGACCATAGAAGTGTTCCTTTATTTTATTGGGTTGTTTGTCTTTTTTTACTGATCATAAAAGCCAGATATGTGTATTATTAATATTTTTGAAGTGCCTGTTCAGCATTAAAAATGATGGCCACATGATTTCAGGAGAAAAAAAGAATGTGTAGCTGTAACAAAAAGTCTTAAATAAAATGTGACTATTTTGAATGGCTGGAATGTTATACACAGAAAAATAATCTTAGGAAACCAACCAAAAAATGTATTAGTAGCATGTTAATTACATAGAACATAAATTAATTAAACATAACATAAACTTAAAAATTTTAAATGTAGTAATATATTACCACACACCAATAATATACAGTTCTGAATATAATAAAAATAATCATGCTTACAGATAAAACCAGAAACACGAACGGCTTTATGTATTCAAAGGAAATGACTTAAAAACCACGAGGGAAATATAAAGAGAAAAGAATCAATGAGACATTGGCTGTGCTCTTGCTGCTTGAGAAGACCCGAGTTGCAGAGCCGATTCAATATTAACCAAAGTCCCTGATGGATGGCATATACAAGTTGACAAATTGATTTACAAATTAAGTGAGAAGAATAAAAAGCAATGTGAATATTCTAAAAACCATTGAGTTTTAACTCTACATGGGTGAATTGTATGGTTTGTGAATTATCTTCATAAAGCTGTTAAAAAAAGAACAGGCAGAAAAAATTTTAAAGCTAAAACAAAAAAATAAGGAAAGCAGTGGAAAAAAACCCCACAGATTTGCTGTTTACAGTATATTAAGTGAAAAGTCACTTGAAACAGTATATAACATATGTCATTTCTGTAAAGACATACATTAAGTCAATGGAGGGAGATCAACAAATTTCAACAATGTTTATCCTAAGGAGCTAACAACTGCAGGAAACATTTTACTTAATGAGGCAATGTTTCTTTTTTTTTTAAGTTATTTTTAATTTTTTTTCAAATGTTTTATTTATTTATTTGACAGAGAGAGACACAGAGAGAGGGAACAGAAGCAGGGGGAGTGGGAGAGGGAGAAGCAGGCTTCCCGCGGAGCAGGGAGCCCGATGTGGGGCTTGAGGTGGGACTCGATGTGGGGCTCGATGTGGGGCTTGATCCCAGGACCCTGGGAACATGACCTGAGCCGAAGGCAGACACTTAACCAACTTGAGCCACTCAGGCAATATATATGTATTTTTTAAAAGTAGGCTACATACCCATTGTGGGGCTTGAACTCACAACCCTGAGATCAAGAGTTGCATGCTCTATTGACTGAGCCAGCCAGGCGCCCATATTTCCTTTTTAAAAATAAGCACAAATTTTCTTATTTTTGTTCCTTCTTATATAAAAGGTAGCCTCTGTATGCTTTTTTGTACTTTGCTTTTTTTCATTTGGTAATAATCCTTGGAAATCACTCTGTGGGTTTATCCTCATAATACAATTTTTTTTTTTAAATTTATTTGAGAGAGAGAGAATGAGAGAGAGAGAGCATGGGGAGGGGGGAGGGTCAGAGGGAGAAGCAGACTCCTCGCTGAGCAAGGAGCCCGATGCGGGACTTGATCCTGGGACTCCAGGATCATGACCTGAGCCGAAGGCAGTCGCTTAATCAACTGAGCCATCCAGGCACCCCTCATAATACAATTTTTTTTTTTAAGTTGGGTTTAGATTGTATTTTTTCCTTAGTTTCTTTCTTCCTCCATTCTCTTACATGTTTTGTACATCCCTTAAATTGTAGTTATGTATGTGTAGGTTATATAAATATACAAATACAGTGTTGGGAAAATGTTGTATATTCACATCTCTGTAATTATTGGGTCCTACTTTCAGTTGCAGATTATTCACGTTTTTGTTTTAGGATTTGGCTTAGCTAATATAAAAGAAATCCCAAGTAAGTTTCTGAATAGGTAGCTTCTTTTTCTTGGGCTTACCAGTGCTTGTCTGTTTATCTCTGGACTGATTTCAAGTTGCTGTGTTGTCAGAGTCCAGCTTCCTCTGTGGTAATGTTCTATCATGTCTGCACTATTAAAGAGTATAGAATGAACGGGAAGATGAGGTAGCGACCCATCCCTAGAAGGCCAGGACCCACAAGGTATATTGTGCTTCTCTTCACACATCATTGACTAGGACTTAGTCATGTGTCCAGCTACGTATTCTTAATAGAAAAAGAAGGGGAAAATGAATATTCTGTAGCCACGGGTATCAAGATATTTACAGCTTTTCTTTCTTTCTTTTTTTTTTTTAAAAGATTTTATTTATTTTATTTGACAGAGAGAGACACAGCAAGAGAGGGAACACAAGCAGGGGGAGTGGGAGAGGGGGAAGCAGGCTTCCCGCGGAGTGGGGAGCCCGATGCGGGGCTCGATCCCAGGACCCTGGGATCATGACCTGAGCCGAAGGCAGACGCTTAACGACTGAGCCACCCAGGCGCCTCATGAGGCAATGTTTCTGAGAACAGAAACCAGACAAGGATATCCAGTGGCATAACTTACATTCAGTACTTTCCTGATGTTCCTAGCCAGATTAATAAAGCAAAACATTGAATTAAAATCTAAGGATTGGAACCAAGATATAAAATTACGATTGTATGTATTAAAAACTCAAAAGAATCTAGAGACATATGATTAGCATTAGTGAGTTTGGCATGATTGCTGGGTACAAGGTCAATTGAGGAAGACCCACTTTATGGATACCAGCAAGAATTAGAAGATAAACGATGTAAAAAAAATCCCGTTTATGATGGTACAAGAAAATCACGTGTCCAGGGGAAGAGATAATGAAGATAAACAAAGCCCCTGCACATGACACCAGCACACACTGTATAGAGAAATCAGAGAGGGGCTAAATAAATAGAAGTGTAGGGCGCCTGGGTGGCTCAGTTGGTTAAGCGACTGCCTTCAGCTCAGGTCATGATCCTGGAGTCCTGGGATCGAGTCCCACATTGGGCTCTCCGCTCAGCGGGGAACCTGCTTCTCCCTTTCCCTCTGCCCCTCCCCCTCCCTCTCCTGCTCATGATCTGTCTCTCTCTCAACTAAATAAATGAAATCTTGAAAAAAAAGAAAGTTCAACACTAGCAACAGTTTATGAGGTGCAGAAGAAATCGTATTGGAAATTAGAAATTATAACCAGGGCGCCTGGGTGGCTCAGTTGGTTAAGCGACTGCCGTCGGCTCAGGTCATGATCCTGGAGTCCCGGGATCGAGTCCCGCATCGGGCTCCCTGCTCAGCCGGGAGTCTGCTTCTCCCTCTGACCCTCCTCCCTCTCATGCTCTCTGTCTCATTCTCTCTCTCAAATAAATAAATAAAATCTTAAAAAAAAAAAAATAAATAGAAGTGTATGCTGTGTTCAGGGATCGGAGGACTTTAAAATACTTAAACACAGGTCCCCCGGAATTGACTTAGAGACTCCAGGCAATTCCAACCAAAATCACAACAGACTTCCCCTTTGGGAGATGGTGGGGGTGGGGTGGGGCGGGTGGGACTTAGCAAGTTAATTCTAAAATTTACATGGAAATGCCACATGCCCAAATAGCCAAGACACTCTTGAAGAAGAACCAGACTAAGGACTTACTCAAACAGATGTTGACATTACGAAAGAGTAATTGACACGTGATGATATTAGTATAAAGATAGGCAAATTCACTAATGTAGCAGAAGGAGCTCAGGAACAGACCCAAATGTGCATAGATGCTTGACGTATTTCCTCGGTGCTGCAGCAGACTAATGGGGAAAAGGATAATCTTTTCAGTGAACGGTGCTTGGATAATTCAATATCCTATGGAAAAAAAGAAAGAAACTGGAATCCAATATTGTAACTTATACAAATGTCTATTTCAAGTAGATTCTAGATTTCTAAATGTGAAAGGCAAGATAATAAAGCTTCTTGAAAATAGTATAGAAGAATATCTTCATGATCTCGAGGTATGGAAAGTGTGAGAAGGTGGAGGAGGGACAGTAAAGTGTCCTCCAAACTGAGAAGGCACTTTGAGACCAGAAAATGAAACAGGCCACTCCATACAGTTTACACAGATTTATTCGGGGTAACTTACGCGGGAATTGAGCAGGTAGGTGATAGTCCAGAGCTGCACAGCTATTCTCCCCAAAGTCCAGACCTAAGTCCACAAATTTTAGAGTGAGGGGATGTGCAGAGAGCACCTTGGGTGAGGTCAAAAGGTCTAACACTTACCAGACCTCGTGGCGCCAACTGTGTGCTAGAATGGGAGGTGGGGTGGCTAGAAACTATTTTATCTCTATTAGTTATCTAAACAACTTTAGGGAAGACAAGAACAAACCTTCCCACATTCCGGTCAGGGCATACATTAACCTCCAGAGGGCTTGGAACATGTAGCCCCAAGAGAGGTCATTGTGTGGACGTGAACAAGATGGAGGGCCAAAGATGGAGTCCATATTGTCTGCACGCTTACAGAAGGACTTCTTAAAAAGAGGACACGGTAAGATTGCTTCATTTGACTACATTAAAATTAGAAACTTCTATTTATCAAAAGAAAGCCATAAAAATGGGAGGAAATCAGCCACAAATATATTGGTAATTAAAAAAAAAAAGTATCATATGACCTCACTGATAATGAGGAATTCTTAATCTCAAGAAACAAACTGAGGGTTGCTGGAGTGGCGGGGGGGTGGGAGGGATGGGGTGGCTGGGTGATAGACATCGGGGAGGGTATGTGTTGTGGTGAGCGCTGTGAATTGTGCAAGACTGTTGAATCACAGATCTGTACCTCTGAAACAAATAATACAATATATGTTAAGAAAAAAAAAGAAGAAGAAGAGGGGAAGAATGAAGGGGGGGAAATCAGAGGGGGGACGAACCATGAGAGATGATGGGCTCTGAGAAACAAACTGAGGGTTCTAGAGGGGAAGGGGATGGGAGGATGGGTTAGCCTGGTGATGGGTATTAAAGAGGGCACGTTCTGCATGGAGCACTGGGTGTTATGCACAAACAATGAATCATGGAACACTACATCAAAAACCAATGATGTATGGTGATTAACATAACAATAAAAATTTAAAAAACATAATGGGAGAAAACAATTGTAATACCTCTAATCGAAATGAATTCCTACAAATCAAGAAGAAAACCACAAGCCAATAGAAAAGTGGGTAAGATCCATGAACAAGCCCTTCACAGAG